ATAGCTATTTTTGTTTCTGAGTTGTGTTCATTTACAGGCTCAATTTTTTTCCGTTTCTCCTTTTTGATTTTATATGGGGTTTCAAGTTGTTTTTGACTTATTTCGACGTAAATCACAACAACTCACTTTTTTAATAAAGCAAACAAGTGTTAAGAGGTATATGTACGTGTAAACTACAATTACAAAAAATTGATATGAAACCCATGAAACCACCAACAAAAATGTAAAGCTAGCTTCCGTACTAGAACATGGTGTCATTCGTCGAGATAATTTATCGTTTTGTTTAATAGATCAAGAAATGTAAATATTCCCCTGTTATTTTTTATAAAATTATAAGAGAAATACATTTTTTTCTAAATAGTATAGTTTATTATTTTGTAGAAAAACAAAATTTCGAAAATTTTAGTAATGTTTCAGAAACAACCGTTATTAATAATAGGTACCATTTTCCTTAATAAGGTAGAAATAAAATATAAACTATTTCCACGATTTACAAAGGCCTACAAAAAAATAATAATAGGTACCATTTTCCTTAATAAGGTAGAAATAAAATATAAACTATTTCCACGATTTACAAAGGCCTACAAAAAAAATTATAGGTATTTTCCGCTATCCTATAAAATTTATATTTTCTGACTCAATTTCAAAAGGTTGAAGGAATTCCAAAACACCTTTTATGGCATAATAATTATTTTCAATTCTACATACTATCTTTAGCTGCTTTTAAAAACGTTCTAAGAAAGTCCAATCAGACCAATTTAATCCCTAAACTATTCCACACTTTTAAAATTTAATTACCTAAAAATATTAAAAACTATTTAAAATAACTTGTTTAGCAGACTGTACAATAGCTATCTTAGTCACACGTAGCGCGTTCTCTGTCTGGGCGTCGAACACCTCTAGAAATTTGATGAACTGTAACTCCACAAGGTCATTGTTTTCTTCTTTAAAATGATTTGTAACTATGTAATTTTTAATAAAAGCTTCCTGTAGCAAACCATTTTTTAAAAATGTATGCTATTTTAATAAAGCCCTGTGACTTATTTTGCTGTCGGTTGTTTTTAATGTTTGTAACTATCTGCTGCAATTAATTTAATAATAGTGAATGATATTTGCCGAATAATTACTCTAAAATTTTACTATTAGCCTTTAATTTCAGTTTAGGCTTAGTCCCTTTATTTCTTCTAACGACATTTGTGTGTAAAGAGTCAAAATTATTTGCCAACAGTAACACTTGCAACATTACATTATGACTCGCTTCAGGCTTGTTAAAATTTCAAAATATTTCGGGATATAAAGTGTGATCCGAATTCAGCTCGGAAGCCGTACCCTAATCCAAAATGTTTAAAATAAACCACTCACACAATAATATTTCTCTTTATAATTAATATAAAAAGTAAGTCATTTGAAATTTGGTTTTTTTATGCCGTTTTGTAGCTTGTCTTTCAAAAAATCTAATTACCGATTTTATAAAAACTCCAACACAGGTATATAGTCCAAAAATAAAAATATAAGCACCACTAATTAATAATAAAATATTAGATTTTTTAAAAAATTAACAGAATATTTTCTGTCAGCTTGATTTTTCATTCCGTGACTTCACAGCCTTCCTTAGCAACGGACGGAAGAGGCCACCGTGTTGTCTACGAACTGTGGTACGGTCTCAAATAATGTTATTTTTCCCAAGGCCAACTTTAAAATAAAATTGTAGATCATATCACAAAATGTCTATTCATTTTTGTAATTGTCGATAAATAATTATCTATCTATGCAATTTAAAATATATACCTATCTACAAAAAACAACGTTAAACGCTTAAATATAATTAAAAATAAGTTTTAAGTTTAAATGATTTCCTTGGTAAATTTTTAAAAATAATATTTATTCTATGTAAAAAACATTTAAAATATTTTTATTAAATGGCTCAATAATTGGATACGATTAGTACGGGTCATATTTTTATTAAACTAAAATTTATTTTTATTAACAAAATGTTGTTATATATAAAACGGTGATCTCACTTATTAACTATAAATGGATTATTTGTCAAGATTAAAATATAAACAAATATACGTAAATATTAAAATACAGTATTTAATTATAACACTTACTAATAAATTATAAATCTTTAAGTATTAACAAAGAACTACATATATTTAAGAAATAAATGGTAGAGTTCGATATTTTTAATGAAAAAAAAAAAAAAAAAACAAAAATCATAATTAATGTTAACCATACAAAATATTTGTTTTTAACTTTAATTAAGTTAATATCTTAGATAAAAGAGACCGAAGATGTAACATTGCACACTGTGCATGTTGTCTGTTTTAACTCCAAGTAACCCACCAATTGAAAATCATTGTTTGCACGACGCCACCCGAATTGCTCCGATTTCCCATTCAACGCTCACCTCCGCCTGAGTTTCAATCACCATTGACAGCTGTTTTTGATTTATTTGTTGGTGTTTTAGCAATTTAAAGTGTTCTAGTTATTTAATTTTAAACTCAAAATGCCACGATGTATCTTAAGAAATTGTATATACTTATAATACAAGTACCAGTGTTATGAAATATAAAAAATATATTCCTTTTCAGCGGTAACTATTTATAAACGTTTTGACATAAAGCGCCATAATCCTTTGAGCTGAATACAGCAGATCCGCATTAAGGGATTTCAATAAATATTTTCATCAAATACATTTCAAAAAACAGATTTCGTATTACTTATATAAATTTACAAAAGGGTAAAATTTTAAATATTTAATTTAAATAAGAAGTAAATAGACATTGTTGCTAACGAAATTTTGTTTTTAAAAAGTAGTTTTATAAGAATATTTACTAAAGGTGGTTTTTAGCTCTTTTCGGTAGATAAAAAACAAGTAAAGAAGCATAGTTGATTAGTAGTATTTTTATAAGAATATTAGATAAAATACAGGATGAATAACTTAAAATTTCAAGATAATGTAATAATCGATTTTAACGGAAATACAAAAATAAAGTAGATTTATTCAAAATAATCGATTAATTGAAAATAATCGATTTTATGGAAAAATCGATTTATCGTTTAATCGGTGTTTTAATTAATCGATTATTTTCGATTAATCGATTATTTTCGATTAATCGATTATTTTCGATTAATCGATTATTTTCAAATTTTCAAAGGTATTATATGAAAATAATTGATTGATCGTATAAATTCGTTATTTTATATAACCAATATTTCGGTTATTTTTTAAAAATATCGATTTATCGGTTAATCAGTTTTTTAATATTTATTAATTATTTTTGATTTATTGATTTTTATCGATTATTTTAGATTTTTCAAAGATAATAGAATAATCAATTTTAAAGGAAATATGAAAAATCACTCCCAAAATTATATATTTCGGGATATTTACAACTTGCTAAATCATTAAAAGAGACTCTTTTAACCATGAGTACGCTTGTTGAGTGATTTAGTAATTTTTAGGACTAAACATCAGATTCACCTTTAGGGACCGCGGGTTCAGTTGTGCCATCTTGGGTTCTCTGAAAGAATGTTCTGCAGAGCCCGGGCTGGCACATCAGAATCACGCGAGTGACATTTTTGTTTTGTCTTGACATCAAAATAATAATATCATTTATATTAAACATTTATTTAAATTTAACTAACAATAAATTAAATCTTTAAATTCAATAACAAATTTTTGATCTCCGAGAAACATGTTCCACACTGAGGTGAACGCACCTCCTTCTGTTGACATTTGACAAGTCAAAGTCTTCAAGTGTCGCTTGTCACTACTGTCATGTGGAAACGGTTAAACAACTTGAACCAAAATAAAGGAGAAATTTAAATTTGAAAATATTAATATTAATAAAATTACGATTTAGCAAGTTGTAAATATCCCGAAATATATAATTTTGGGAGTGAGGATGACCAGGAACTTGTTGGATACGTTGTGGACAGTAGGTAGACTTTTTCATAATTATAATTTATATAAAATATTTATATAAAAAAAAACCTTCAGTTTTTTTACTTTGGCCTTCTGCGTTTTACTTTCTTCATATCAAATATTGTATTCTAGATTCAAATTTCAATATATCTTCCATAGTCACCCTCTAATTGTAAATTTCTTTAAATTTTAACTAATTTGTTAACCTTTTTTCAATTTTGTGAATAGTGAGGGTGGCATGATTCCTTAATTCCACACAAGCTAACTTGCTTCTGGAGATCAGATTTGATTTGTAAGGGCTTATCCCACACTCACTATTCCCAATACCAGTTTTTTGTCACTTTGTTTGTTTCTTGTAATTTTTAATTTGTTCAAACAATTGTATATATACTATTTTAACTTTTGACTTAAAAGTCTAATTCAGATTTTATAATATATTTTTTTAAATCTTTTTAAATTGTAAGTTTACATCCACAATTTTTGTAGATGAGCACTGATGATGGCAAATAAGCCGAAAGCGCTTTGCATTGATTAATAAAAAAGTTTTGCATGAAATACAAGTTTTTCCTTTTGAATTAAAAATTTAAAAAACCGACTTCAAAAACGTGCAGATTCGATCACCACATCTTAACCAAATTTATATGGGACCACCCCTAAGGTACCCCCTTATTAACAAAAAAGAATCATATAAATCGGACAAGGTGGTAAAACAATATCGCTAAAAATACATAAAAAATGAAGAGTTTGAGGATTTTATCATGAACCCAATTATTAGATTTTGACTAAATTTATATAGGACCACCCCTAAACTACCCTCTATCGATTGAAATCGGACACCGTGTTAAAGAATTATTGCTGAACATACAAAAAAAAAATTGCGACGAATTGAGAACCTCCTCCTTTTTCTGAAGTCCGTTAAAAATAAACTGTGAACTCTTTACATTGTGTTTCACTTTTCAGTAAATAGTGAAAACTTTGAACACAGAACGGAAAACGCAGAAAAAGTCAAATCTTTCCAGGATGGATATCTATTATTATTAATAGTAATATAAAAGTTTAAAGTGCCTACCTTATTACTGCTGTATTGCGTGCCCTGCGGCGACGTAACACGTCCTAAATGCGCTACAACTACGCAAGTTTCTACGTTGTGACCTTTCTGTGAACATTTGGCCATAGCTTGGTCGCAGATAGATTTAAGCTGGAGAAGTTTTTCACCTCTCCAAGCACCATCGGCGGTCACCAAGAGCCTGGCTTCGCAGTCCAAAATTCTTTCGGCGAAGGAATCGGCCGAGAATCCGGCAAACTGAAAAAAAAAAAGAAGATAGCGCTTATATTTAAATATAGGTATATATGTATATATATAATTTGTTTTTCAAATTTTGTTTTTAGATTTGTGACATTTTTCAGGAAATAGAGAAAAAATGAAGAATAAGGAGGGTAAGACATAAGACCAATACAACATAAGTGATAGGTTTGCTTAAACTAAAAAATAATAAAAATAAGCATATACACAATTAGGCATTCCAACGAAATGTCAAACAATAGCTGCCAGTGGAAAGGGGTCGTAAATCTAGATAGCATTCCATCTTGGACGCTATTTTTATTTGAAATAGTAGGCGCAAAGCCTGCCAATTTAAAGAAATGTATAAGCCGTTTGTTTTGTGTTTGACATAAAATATTTAAATTTAATCCATTAATTACGATTTCACGTATTGTAGATAGACTACATCGTATATCGCAACCCTTTAGATATACCAAACCTTAGCACCACGTTTCATTTGTTTGGAAAGCCTAATAGCAAAACAAACATTTAAGCAGTTTTATTTTGCAGATATTCAGCAACACTGTAGTAGCATTTTCTCAATAGAAATTTTTTTCTTAGTTTATGATTTAATTTAATTAATGTGAGTTCTGTGTAGGCTTTTTTACTGTGTCTCAGCGGCACTTCAGGAATAGCACTGTAAATTAGAACCCAATAGTGAAAGGTCGGAGTGGGGGATCCTACCCAGACATCAGCATTATTATTAAATAATTAAATTAAATAAAAAAATCTCAGCAAGTGATGTGATTCGAAACATGGATCCTTGGATTCGTAAGTCCACATTCTAACCTCTGAGCCACCCCCTCTCCCCAATAGGGGTTCTTAAATTGGAAATTATTCAAGCCTTCATAGATACTTAGGAGGTGAATGTAAAATTTAATACCTTGATAATTTGGTGAAGATCCATATTTAGATGTTTTGTGTAAGTTTTTTAGTATTCCTTGTTTAAAGGCCCCATACGCCTCGTTCTTCTCTGCCGTTTTTAACCGTCGGTTAACACATTACTCGTGAAAATTCACGAAAGTTTTGTCTATATGATCTAAAGTGCTTATTTCTGGCTTCAGCAGCTTCTGACAGCTGCCTAATTGGAAATATAAAATGTGAAATGACAGCAACATTATGTATTATTATATTGTGTAAAGTGGGTGACATCGGATATCACCCATGTAGCTGTACATATAGAGTTTAGCAGTTTCGAATGTGTAGCCGGCAAACTTTTCCGAGTCAATATTATAACCACTTGAAATTGTTTTTAAAGTTACTATGAAACTGTAGATCAAAATCTTGTCTACTCCGGTATTTCGGGAAGCTGCTTCTGGATCAGCAAAAATCTCCTAGATGTATTTCCGTCATTTCTATTCTGTCTTTGGAATATCCACCAGCTTTAAATGATAAATCTTTTATGTCCGTTATATATTTATCAAACGATTATTTTAATATTGTTAAATAATTGTAAGCTTTTCAATCCTTAACTGTAACGCCACTGGTAACTTTTTAACTTTGTTAAAACCCATATTTTTATTTCCCCACTTTATCGTGTTAAACCAAATTATTATTTCGAATACCCCTTCAAACTATGTGAACTAGAAAGATGGCGTTCTTTTATTTTAAACAATTTTATTCGTCCATATAATTTTAAAAATTGACTGCACCTGAAGATGGAAAAATTTTACTTTCCGAAACATATGTTGTGTGCTAAACAATAAAAATAAAAACATTTAACCGATAAAACAAAGGAAAATTTTTATTTATACATAAAATTCTACTTCGGTCAGGAAATTATCCTTATTCAAATAACTTGTTTATGTTTTTTTTATAAATAATAAATAAATATTTCTTTAAACTATCAATCAAATTAAACATGCTTCGTAGTGAAGTACATATCTTTATTTTTCATCTCAATAATGAATATTTTTTAAATACATTAAAAACTAACTCAAAATACTGATGAAATTTGTATAAAAATTAAGTTACCCAGTTGCTATATTTGAAAAGTACCTCCTGCTGTAGAGCAGATCGAATAGATTAGACGACTAGTTGGAGAAGGTCCACCTAGTCACCAAATTAGGAGACTAGGAAAAATTTTACATGACTGGGGACACAACAGAAATGCACACGCACAAGATACACAAACAGACGACATAACAGGGGTAACACCCCTAAATATGTATTTTTAACAACCATACGAATTTGGTATGCAACATTTGCCGTGTGCGACAATTTTCTTGCGAGACTCGAGAATTCTACCCCTGAACTACAATAAAACTCACATAGACCTTATTTTTTTTAATATTTTCATAATTTGAAATTCATGTTTATGAATTTTTTGGTATAATTGAAGCGAACATAGTTTTTATATTCCTACTCTAAAACGACACCTCCGAAGAAGACACAGGCGAGGGTCCATCAATGTGTGACACTTTATAGTACGTTATAGTAATAAATGGTTTAAAAAATAAAACTTACCACTAAAGAATGGACGGCACCGATCCTAGTACAAGCGAGCATTGTAACTATAGCTTCTAAAATCATCGGCATATATACAGCAACTCTGTCGCCTTTTTGAATGCCTTTGTTTTTTAATACATTGGCAAATCTGCATACTTCTTCTAATAACTTTTTGTATGTCAACCTACTGTAGTCGTCTGGATGATTGCCTTCCCTGAAACAAAAGTTTAGGCTTAATTCAAAAATTAACTTTTATAAAACAAAAACATTGCACCATATTTATGTTATAAAATTTTGTGTCTATTTAAAAAAAAATACAGTTTTTCTACTACAACTATTCATAACACGAGTTTCCGTATCAATTACTATTTGCAAAGTTGGTAATTTGTTAGAATACTACGAAATTTTCTTCTATAGAAAAGATTAGCCTAAAATATTTTGAAACCAACCATGGCCAAAGTGAGGGTGATTCTGCACATAGCGCCATTTCATCAGCTTTGTCTATTGCTGGAGATATTCTTGTACCATCACATTTACAGCCGGTTATAAATTTACCATGCAGAAAACAACCCTATAAGGTAATTAGTATGAACTATGATGATTTCAAAGACTTCAAGACCTTATCTACAGATCTACGCGTGCTAAGTGTGAAAGAGACCGAAAGCGGCAGCAAAATAAATTGAACTCATGATTGAAATATCCAATGAATGTTTTTTTAAAAATCAGTCATCTTCAGTCAAAGTTTGATTCAATTTGCCTCAAGCGTATCAAAGCCAATAAGATAAATAGCTTTGAGCTACGCAGTTTAAACAAAGAACCTAATAAAATTAGTCTTCAAAAATGCAATAATCTCGTGTCGTTGTGTATTGGAATAACCGCCTGTAGTTAAAGAGCCAGAATTTAAAACATATAGAAACCTACCTCATCAAACTTCTGATAAATAAAATACTTTATTTCTTTTTACGTACAATAATTATATTCAAGCATATTGTATAATGACGCATAATTTATTTAAAATACAATTCTCATAAAACATGCAAATCATTTAAGTGTTTTTTTAACAGTAATATAATAGGTCATTGTTAAAATATAAAGAGTAGTTATAAAATAATAGTTTGTGCAACAAGAGTGGATATGATGGCCATATCGCACGAAGACGAAAAGAATTTGAGCACGACGCCGTAGACGGAGTACTCAATCATCTGGGTGCGATGTGGACAATACACTCGAGTTGTACAGTATATTTTTTCTACGACCCACTAACGAAAATTTACAAATAAAATATTTTGGGTTATTAAGGCAAAATAATGACTTAATAATTTTTAAAATAAAGAAGAAAAAAAAGATTTATTCTATAAGTCCCCAGCCGATGCTCAAACTTGGGTTTCTCGCATGGAAGGCGATACTATCACCACCTATCCACCCGCAGTTTCGGGAATTTTTTTTTAATAATTGAATTGACTTCATAAAGTTGTTTTAAAATTACCAAATTATTTATAATGATAGTATGAATAAAAATAGAAAAATGCTATTATTTATCGATTATAGAAAAAAAAGTCATTTTGATGTACATTTAAGTTCAACAACTAAAAAATATACTGACTATTAGTTTGATAGAATTGTCACTTATTTAAAATTTTAAAAATAATACTCGTCGGGTGACCAAATTATGAACTGTGATTGGTGTATTTCATTTTTTGCAGTGTTCTCACTACATAGAATGGATATAAAATATTTTCTTTCAGTTAATGGCAATAGTATACTTTTTCATTATTTTTTTACTTGCACTTTTTGTGGTTATTTATTTTTTAGATTTTGTTTGTTACCACAATCTTACTTTATAGTTTTCAGTATTCAATATATTCTGCATACATTAATTTTCGTAGTTATTACCTTTCATGGTTTTAGGTATTATACTTTTACTGGTATTTAACATGTATTGGACAGGTTATAAAATATATATGTTAAACATATTTTATTCATTTTTTAAAATTCACCTTGTTTAAACAACTTTCTAAAGCAGCAAGGGTGGGCCTTATTGAGAACTATTGTTCCTAACAAGGCACAATGTGACCTTGTATTAAAAAAACATGTCAGACTTATAGTAAACACATAAGTTAACAATATTTGGCAAAATCAAAAAAATAAAAGTGAATTCAAATTATCCCCAAATTATTAAACTAATATTTTAACTTTTTTTCATTTTTTCCCTTATTTTTATACTGTTTATCGCTGTGTTGCCAATCTGCAGAATTTAGTAAAAGAAGGATATCACAAAAAAATTATGCAATAAGAAAAGTATCAAAAAAATATTCAACACTTGTATTAAATCTTTATCTAAAAATAGCCGCGATACAATCACACATTAGAATTAATCAATTCATACATTTTTTTATACCTAAGTATATTTATTACTTTTTAATATGCTATTGTAATTTCGACATAAAATTATAAATTGCTTCTTTGTTATTATTTCGAAAAATGATTTCTATTAACCAATTCTTTTGCAATGAGATAATGTAAATTACTGGATTTAATAATAGTACCTACATTAAACATTCAAGCGTAAATTACGAGTTTCTAATTCTACAAGTGCTTATTGCTTTACAATACTTTTTCTTGGAAATTTCTAAATATTGTAATGTTTGTTTATTTTAAAACAATATTTTATTTATTAATAATTTAGTTAAACACTTATTTATTTTATAACACTACTATTTTAATTTATATATATTTCAAATGTCTTTGAATCGTTCACTATTTATATTCACCACTGTCTATCTACTAATGACTAATTGTTGATCCTCCACCAATATTTATATAAAAATTGATGAATACAGAATGCTCCTCCACCAAAACATCTCATATCCGGAATATACCAGCAACATTATCACGTTGACTCAGGAATATTCGCAAAAGTGCCTCCCCATAGTCGTCACATATGTTTGGTCTTAAGGGGTTTAATTATGTATGCTAATCGGACAAGTTGAGCCTCAAATGCCAAATAAAACAGAGAGGGACTTGGAGGATTAGAGCATGACTGAATAATGAAATGGCTCACATAACAATATATACAGAAAATAACCAAATAATAATGTTTGCCAAATGTCCCCATAGCATCGATTTGAACCAATGACATATATAGTTTAAATAGACTGCTTATCCATACGTAAATAAAACGATGAAAAGCGGGTCGAACTGGGAGATGTTTTCTCTTTGTCTAGTGCATGCAATGTTTGTGTTTTGTCTCAATTTTGAGTGCTCACTGGTAAACAAACCTTTCACAGGACCGGTTTTAAAGAAAGTTTAGTCTAATTGAGATTTTGTTCTCATTGTCATTACTCAGTCGGACATGTTGTTGAATTGTCTATTTTATTTAGTTTTAATTATACTTATGTTCTGTTTTAAGTTTTTTAATTATTTGAGTATAAAAACTTGTTTTGTTTTTAAATTTAAATGGTGAATTACTCTATAAAGGTTTGTAAGACCAGCTACAGAAATATAAAAAGTAACATTTTATTTTTCACGCAAGTATCAATACAAGTAGGTACAAGGTAAATACGTTTATAATAATTTTATGAATTATAATTAATTATTATAATAATAATATTGATAATAAAGTATTTATTGTAAATATTATTTTATTCAAAGGCCCGAGTTAGAGCTATATGGGCTTTACAAGTACATTTTAAAAGTTAGTTAGATACAGAGAAATATCGTATAATAAAAATTCAATATAAATAGAAGAAAAACGGACATAAGTACCAACACAGAGAGACAAACACTTTTATTCTTTGATAGGTTCTTTCTATGTGAATTCTAGCTCTGGCAATTTTGGCATTAAGTAAAGCCTCTTGATGGCTGAACTGATTTTTTTTATTGAGGAAAGGAGGCTGTATAATTTGTATACCATCAGCTTCTGTTATGTTTCCAATAAGAAAACCTTTGTTAAACATTTTACTATCGAAAAATAATTCACACACTTCAAGTATTGAACTTTGTTAAAAAATGTCTATTTCTGAAGTTTACCACCATATGCTTCACTTTTATAAGTAATGAGACCAGTAGGTGACACTCCAATCAATATTTTAATAGTATGCCTCTTTTTGTAGTCAGAGTAATTTTTAGCCTACAACAAAGACATTTGGCTTGCTGTATTGGGATTTCGGTACAATCAAGTAGTACGCTTACTTACATAGAGGCACATTATTTAATATTTATTATTCTGAAGGCCAAATTATACCATACTAAGAACTTCTACCAGTTTTATTAAAAACTGTTAAAAAAAATAACGATAAAAAGTTTCGTTCACTCCAAATAAAATGGATAGAACATTATATCTTGCATATCAGTTTTCAACTTCATAAAAGTAAATATAACTTGATCCTTTACAGACATAACTGACCTCCTTTTTCCTATTATTTAGAAACAACTCTGCCACTAATTCCACAATGGTGGCTAATAACTGGAAGGATTGCAATCCTATTAAAGTAGATAGTTCTTTAGCACTAACAATTCTGTTTGAAAACGGATCAACTAAATCACCACTCTTCACTTGTGTTGAACAATCGATCCCAATTTTCTGCTTTTAAACAAAGTTTTGTAAATCAAACGAAGCTCTTAAGCAGCACACAAATCTTCATTATCTGCTTTAGAAGTAGATATATGTTCATTAACTGCAAAAACACATTAAACACAATAATAATTAACCATTTTAAATTATGCATACGTACATCCATTGCCTGAAGAAGATAACTCAACACTTAACATTCTACTAGTACTGGCAACATATCATTTTATTAAAGACAGTAGTCATAATTCTTGTTTTAGCTGGATTACTTTTCTTTTTATTAATAGTCGCTTTCTTTTTACCACTAATCTGAGCTAACTTACATCGACTAAGCTTAGTTGTACGTTCTTTTTGTGATTGTAAGTCAGAATCTTTCTTTCCCCCTTACCGATGCTAAGGTACACGGATCTTGACGTCAACTAAGATTGCACTTTGTACCTAGTCCATTTTACTATGATGTTGATCAGATTTCCACTGGTGGAATTTTATTATTATTCATCAAATCATTCACATTCACCGACAAAATAATCCTTAATGGTCTAAAGGGAACACACTTTAGAATTTGAAAATGCTACTAACTTTTAGTAAAAATCTTTAAAAAGTTCATTCAATTTTTGCATAATATCTGCTTTTATAATGCGAAA